ACTGGCTTCTCTCCTTCCCTTTGGGCGGGAGTGATGGGCGTGGTTCTCTCAGCGTACGTTGTTGTAGTACTAGAGCCTGCCTGATCCGAATGCACATTTAGATTTGTCTCATTTTTCTCACCTTCCTTTCTACTAACTTCCCTTTCTCTTCCTGAATCACGTCCATGCACCATCTTTATCACTGTGATTATGTCAAAATTCGAAATTACTTGTCTTTTCCTTGCAAAAAAGAAGATATTCCTGGACACTTTCCATACAACCGTGGTTATCTTGAAAAACGCCCTCTTTAATGACTCTTTCATATATCGGTCAATCACAACTCGACCTTCATCATACGGTAGCTAGCCATCATCCCTTCGATGCGCCTGTTGAATGCATTCTGCAGGTCTGACATATTTTGCATGGCAGCTAGTGTCTTTTTCATGCCTTGAAGTACACCCATGACGTCAATTATCAGCACCTTGACAGGAAGATCATGCAAGAGGTTAGATTGTTGGGCTGCTCCAGAAGGAACCTGCGTTATCTCATGTTCTACGGTAACCGGAACCTCTTCCTGCATCATTTCAACCTGTTGGGAAGTTGAATATGATTATCCTCCACGACATCAGGCTGTTTTACAGCATCGGGAGGTTCTGCCTTTGCATCTTAAACTGCATGCATCAGACTTGCTTTGTTTGTTGGGATGTTCAAAGAACCATCGACAGCACATAGTGAACGGGGAACCACTGACATTTCATATTCACCCATTTCATCTTCCCAGCAATTCACGTTCCTCCCGCAACTTGATGACCTTGTCCCCAACACGCACTTTCCTTTTCTCCATCCAGTTCGAAAAGGATTTCAGCTTCAGTTTCTTCATTTTGTCCCACACCGAGAGGGTTGATGATGAAAGCAAACGATCTGATACAAACTCCTCAAATCGCTTCTGGCCCTTTTCTGCAAAGTGGAGAAAGTCACTTTTCGCCTCATTTGACACAAGTGCCGATGAAACCAGACTCTTCAATTGTGTCTTCTCCTTGAAAGGATTGACTCCGCAGTGCAGCTCGATTAGGTGGCGTAGTTTCAGAGCATTCTTCTCTGACTTCACTGCAATGTCTCCTGAGAGCTGATGATGCTCCTTCCTCACCGAAGCTCCAGTAGCTGTTGGGAAGTCATTGAGGTAATGATTTACCAGAGCAGCAAGGTGAGGTGTGGTAGTGACTAGTCGGTCCAGAGCGGCTTCATTTCTTGTGAGTCCAACCATCCCACCATTCCCCTTTAGTTTCTTGATTTCTTGCTCTAGAGCCTGATCAGTGAAGAGAAGAGAAAAGGGTATCTCTGACTTTGCCACCACAAAGTCTCCAGACTTGAGGGCATTCCATGTTTCTGGGTCATCCTATTCTAGGGCATTCATTTGAGCGAGATGTACTGGCATCAGGCGAGCATAGTTCAGGAGATCACGAGCAAAAAGTACTTGGTGAGGTCTTCTAGTGATGACAAGTAGCCCTCCCAGTCCCCTGATCGACATGAACTAATGAGATGTAAAAGCTCTCCACCTGGTTAAGATACCGGGTCAGGAACTGGGCAAACTCGCCAAGGTCTTCAGCTTCTTCAAGCGGTTTAACATTGCTTGAGTACCAGGATTGGATTTCTTCATAGATCTCTACCATCTCCGGGTCACGTCTATGAAGTTTTTCTTTGAGAGAATTGCACTGGATACGAATTGGACCCTTGGGAAGAACCAATAGTATGGCATCAAAACGCAACATCATGATTGCAAGGCTTGCAGTAATGTGGAATTCAAGGCCACGCTTATAAGCTTTACCACCAAAGATCCTGCGAAGAGATGCTGAGGTGTACGCACCACATTCGATAGCACACGTGTCAAGACCGCTACCATCGATGGTTTTGCCAAGAGCATGTAAGGCAGCGAAAGCAATGTGGAGAGCTCCAGCTCTTAAGATCCAGTTGGCGTTTCCCACCGACTGCTGAATCTTCAACGCTCGGGAGTAAAGATCGAGATCTAGCGTTACCAATGTCTTTCTGTGAGGGCCAACAACAGTCGCAGATATTCCCTGGGATAACCGGAGAACAGTATAGAGGGTCCCATAATCAGTTGGCGATGTCTTGAATAATGGGGCAACCACCGCTGTGATTGTAGGCGTGCTAGCGGGAGAGGATTTTGAGACAATAAGGACCTAGTTGCAGCCCATGTTGGAAGAACATCATTCTTTGCTAGTTTATCTGATTTCTTCACCTGCTTTTTGATGATCACGACAGAGTTTGTTTCCTCTCTGTCCGTTGAAGACCCAGCTTCCTCCTTCTTGCTAGAAGGCTCATTTTCCTCATCATTTGTAGACTCTGCATCACTTGGCATCTCTTCACTGCGCTGGGCTTCTTCATCGTGCAGCTGAGGTTCAGTTCGGATGATTCCTCCGTTGTCATCTTTTGTAAGGTAGTACACAAGAGCCCAGGTATGAGTGAATTCTTGAGAAATGAGATTTTGTTTCCTCTTCTTGTAGGCCTGAAATCTCAGTGGGCTATTTCTGATGTCTGGCTCTGGAAGCACATGCATCTCAAATGCTAGAAGGTCTTGCCAAGAAAGTTTCTCGGGTATGACACGTGGTTGATTCACTGGCTCTCCATCTACAGCCTGTTGGTTGATTACAACCACTGTCCCGTGAAAGGTTCCTTGCCCTGTGGGTGTGTCTTCCAAGAGATCATGTTGTCAATGGCAAACCAGATGTTCACACCCTTCTTGTTAAAACAGCTGAATGTTCTCATTAAGATGCACATAATCAGAAGGCGGTGGATCTCATTGGATCAAAGAAAGAATAACGTTGAATGTCCTTCCGTAATGGGTCCATGATCTTATATATATATATATATATATATATATATATAATATATATATAACCATCTAAGTTGATTGATTGATCAAGAGTAATAAAGTTCTCTCTTGTTTTTGCAATTTATTTTCTTCTTCTCTAACCGATAATGAAGACCCACATCACATAAAATTTTAAAATCTAGATTTGCCATTGGCTATATGTTTATGCTTACCTTGGAAAATCAGGCAATATACTGCAAAAGAGGGGTCTTTATTCTGTCAAACTTGCGAAGACCAAGGAACAAAACAACTTTTACCACAGAAGAGCTGGAAACAATGATCACAGAGCAGCATAATATTATGTAGGAATGTATGCGCGCTGTGTGCGCGCGAGCGCACTTGCCTGTGAATGTTTGGGTGTGTGTGAGTATGTGCGTGTGGGAGGAAGGGTGTGCATGTGGGAGGAAGGGTGTGCGTGTGTGCATGAGCGTGCGTGTGTGTGTGTAGGGGGGGGGGAGGGGGAGGTAGATGTGTATACATGAAGGTTGTCTGTATGTTTGTTTCTGTCTCTTTGTGTTTGGAAATGAGCTGGTAAATATATATGATAAAAGTACTACACCTTAAAACAGCTGGCCGAACAATGACAAAGGTACGCAAATTGGGCTGACGGGGGTGGGGTAGGGATGGGGATGGGTTGGTTGGAGTGTTTATCCAACTGAAAGTCTTCAAATTACCTTTCGAGGGATAACCACAGTTCTAGAAAACAACTAAAGTTTTGTGAAACCAGTCATTAGATGAATGACACACCCAATTTTAGGGGGTCTCATGTTAAGAAACTACCCCCCCCCCCCCCAGAGAGGGGTTGAGGGTCGGGAAAATTTGAACCCCATCAATTTCTGATAGCTTGGACCCCAATCAATCCAAAAATGCAACAACAAAAAAATCAATGTTGGCACAAAAGTCCTACGGTAGCTGTTTCAGTGACATACCGTACCACACTAAAAAGTCAAAGCTTCGCGCGGGACGGGGGAAACTGAATTCAGATTAGGATAGAAAGTCGAAAACAGTAAAACGAATCGTCTTCTTCCTCTAATGATTTAATGAAACGTCAAAGCTTCCGCGCTTCGAAGTCGAGGGGGCCAACTGAATTCAGATTAGGATTAAGAGTCGAAAACAGTACGTATAACGAATCGTCTTCTTTCTCTAATGATTTAATGAAACGTCAAAGCTTCCACGCTTCGCGCTGGAAGGGTGGGGGGCAACTGAATTCAGACTAGGATTAAGAGTCGAAAACAGTACGTAGGCCTTTAACGAATCGTCTTCTTTCTCTAATAATAAAATGAAACGTCATAGCTTCTGCGCTTCGCGCGAAACAAGAATTAAGAGTCGGGAATGGTACAACGAATCGTCTTCTTTCTCTAATAATTTAATTAAGTGTCAAAGCTTCCGCGCTTCGCGCGGGAGGTGTACATCCTCTACCCTTTCGTGATGTATTTCTTTGTTTCTCCTTGAATCTATCCTTTTCTCTTTCGTCATGTATTTCTTTGTTTTTCCTTCCATCTAGCCTATCCTTTTCTCCTTCTTTATGTATTTCTTTTCCCGATTTTTCCTAGTCTTTACCCGAATCTATAATCCTCTTAGCTCTCAATGTATTTCTATGTTCTTCCTTTGGCTTATCCTCTTCTCTTTCCTTATGTATTTCCTTGTTTTTCCTTCTCCATATTCTCTCCACTATATGCTTGTTTTCCCTTTTCTATCATCTTCTTTTCCCTGGGTGTACGTGCTTGCACATGTACTATAGTGCGCTGACGACTTGGACTCTTTTACCAGAGCACTTCTAGGAAATATTTCGCGAAAATGGCTAAACAGATGTGTACAAAAATATGCACGAACGGCGCTGCTGTGCTGTAATGAACGAGAGATGGCGCTAGACCACTCGTTATTTTTTCTCTTTTTAATAGACTACCGAGTCCGATAGGGATTTGCCTCAATTATATTTCAATGGTCAAAAAGGAATTAAAGGATATAACATTCATCAAAGCTAGACTTACGTCACTTTTGAACTCACTTTTATGACAGTCACTTTCAACATAATATCATCTTGTCTCTCAAGGTAATTTGCACTCTCATCATCTTTTACTTTCAGAATATATGAGATTTAGAAAAGAGAATCGCAACTATTAAACAAAAATAAATGAGAAAATAAGACAATTTATTGAATCTGTATCCTAAAAACATTTGTAAGTTCATGCTGATAAATAAAAGAATTGTTCAATCCAGTACACTCAAAGAAATTCTTAACATGATAGCATATTTTCCCAATGAAATCAGGTGCTTAAGTGTACAACTAAAAAAATACATTTTTAAATTTTCAATTCTATCAAAAAATGAAAAGAATGAAAGAAAGAAAGAAAAAGAAGACAAAGAAGAAGGTTGTAAGAAGGGAAATAAAAATGGCAAGCAAACTCCTTGCAAATTTTTGGTACCTTCAATTTTTACTATGGAACAGACACATTTTTTCTCCTGACATGTAAAAAGAATTTCCCCCATTACAAATCAGAATAATACATCTCTCGTCCCATCATGAAAAATAAAGAAAAGGGTTTATTATCAGTACAAAAGTATAAACCACAAATGATTTCACAAATATCATAGAATTGTGAATGGGAGGCTCTCCATATCAGTTATAATCACAGATATTTAAAAAAGAATTGACCCTTCTCACTTTGTCTGATTCACAAATGTATCTGCATCTCACTAATTTTTTTTTTTTAAATTCCTGTTTCCATTTAATGCCAACATTGTAAGAAGATTTAATTCCCCTTTTATACAGCATGCTTTTTATATACCCAAATTATGAAACAACTTCCAAGTATCTTATAATGATAATAAACTGAAATCATGACATTACAATACATAATGAGGATAGTATTATTACTATTGAAATGGGGGACCAGTTCGGGGTCAGAATACATGCATTTCAGATTCACAGTTAGAGAGGCAATATCATGACGGGTCTGAAACTTACATACTAAAACAATTGTTCCATAAATAAATACAGCCTTCATGCCTTTCCAAACTATGTGGGAGCAATGTCAGTGAGGATAAAATGTATTAAAGCCTGGCGGGGGGGGGGGGGGGGGGAGGGGGCAACGAGGAACAGGTCATCATATCGATGGCACGTTTGCCTCACAATCTCAATACTCACATGTAGAATTTAAAAAATGTATGAATTAATTTCCTACAGTTATCAAATGGAAACCAGATTTGTTACAGACGGAAGGACGGCTTGCAGCATTACTATATCCCCTCCGACTTCGTGGGCGAGGGGATAATAACATTTGATTCTTTTATACCGTAGTGCATATCACATTATAAAGTCTCTATGCGTTTCCAAAGAGCTTTGGAAATGATTACCCTTGCTTTAGCAAGGCTGCCATCATGGAGCTCTAGCATTTCAAGGAACTAATTCCTGCCAGGTACCCATTTACCTCAACTGGGTCGAGTGTGGCAAATGTAAATTAATGTCTTGCCAAAGGACATTGCAGTGGGACTTAAACCTCAGACCTTGTGATCCACAGTCAGGTGACATATATCCACTCCACCACAACACTTCTACAGTTTAAAGTACAATACTTCTGTTTTAATTTTACTGTCCAACACACTTAAAATGTAACATATGGTCACTTTGGTTGTTGTCACATGTTTTCCTGTGCAGCTGGTATAAGTATCAAAGAAATATAATAATAATAGGAAGATATTTGAAATACCTATATGTAATGATGACAAATGTTTGATAAATATCCGTGATAGCTTATACAGAAAGTCAACTTATCAGTACATGGGTACCCATATCACTTCAAAATACACTCTCGAACAACCATAATAAAACTATCCATGAGTTTGTGGATACTGCATTTACTACTGAACACACATCAGCCAATATTCTACATCAAACAGATTACACTCTACAGTACACTGGGTAAAAGCTTGGTAGGTAGAACACAAGCGAATGCTTACCAGTATTAGAAGACTGTATTTCAGAACTGCATGTTGATGTTAAGTAAGCAATAAAATAATCAAATATGTATCTATGATTTTACAGCAATAGAACATAATGTATGTATCAATACCATACCCAAACATTAACTTTGATTGCTAAAATAATACTATGAACTGTTTAGTGTCAATTTTACAAGAGGATTTCTAAGAGGCCCAAATATGGCATTTTCCATCTTTGACACTAGAATGCAGCATCAAACGAAATATTAAAAAAATTGCTAAGAGTAACAGTTTTAACAATCACATGTAATTTAAAAAAGAAAAAAAGAAACACCAACACACCCATATTTTTGGCATTGAAAATTTGCACACAAGTTTCACATGCTTATAACTGCATCAATGTTCTATTTTATCATGCACAAGGGGCTTTCATAGCCTGACCATGGACTTATTAGAGCAGGTATTTGGTGATGTACATGTTTACAACTATGTTGTTTGAATATTTTATCTTCCCAATACAGGTGACAAGATATAAGTTCAGCAGCAACCCCACCTAGGTTTATACCTTTTTACAAATTGGAGTACCTGGGACTTTAAAAGAAAAGACTATGTGAATGGATGCTATTCAGCAACGTGCAGTTATTTGTTTCATGGTGCTACAGAAGAAGGAGCTGAAGGATATCAATGAGGAACTGGTGATAACATTAGGGGGACCATGCTCTTGCCAACTCCACAGTATAGAAATGGGCAGCTGTCTTCAAAGCTGGTAGAGAAAGCATTGATGATGACCCACACAGGGTCGCCCATCCACTTCAGTAACAGATGTCATTGTCATTGTCATTTGTAACTGAAGTGGACGGGCGACCACTGCGTGGGTCGTCATCAATGCTCACCCAACCAGCTTTAAAGAGAGCAAAGAGCATTGTCCCCTAATATTGTGTTAATCACTTTAGAGATATCCTTCAGCTCCTTCTGAACTAAGAAATGGGTGACTGCATGTTGCTGAACAACATCCATTGACTTAATAGTCAGGTACTCCAATTTGAATGGCTGCTCTTATACCTAGGTTGGGTGCAGCTGTACAGAAATGGGAAAGATGAAGTATTCATAAGACATAATTACGTCACTGAATACCTACTTCTTCATAGTTGGGTTATGAACTTACTGATCGCCCCTAGTAGGTATACACTAAAGACTAGGAGTATCTCACACCATGCCATACACAAATTTTATTTTTAAAAGTTAACGCCACCCATTTCTAGGACAGCTGGAAATCTAATTAAACCAAGAGTGGAACAAAAGTGAGACAACCTTTTGGCCATCGTAAAGTTATAGAGTTCATTTGGCTTTTTTGCAGGGGATAGAATGGTGGCCAATGAACAGCTTCAATGGCATACAATAGTGATCTATCCAGCAAATGTATAGATCAGTGGTACATGTACAACTGTCATGCTTGAAGATTTGGCAGAATAATATCTCAAGTTCGGGATACCATTTTTTAAAGTCCATCATCAGTTTCCCAAAACAAAATCAACAGACGTTGTTATGTAAAGGGTACATGCAACACAGCAATTGTCAAAGTCATTCTTATCATGACTGATTTGAACATTGAAACAGGTTTTTATTTTTTAAATGCAAATAAATTGTGTAATAATTAAATTTATTCAGATGCCAGCTCCATAGAATTTAGATCAAACTATTTTTATTACCCAACTTTTTTTGCCAGCAACTGCTTATATATCCCCTTATCCCATTGGTGTACAGCTAACAAGGTTTGATTGTTGAAATACAGGCATCATTGTGTGCTTACACTTCTCTAATAGGATAAATTACATGCATGCAGTAATTAACACTTCAAAAAGTCCTGTCATCTATGTTTCAGAATATATCTGATAGAAATTTGTGCATTTTTAATATAAATTTTCTAAAAACAGGGCTCAATGCACACAAAGGTCCAATTGTAAATGACACTATGACATCCCGCAATGAACCTCAAATGTAAACAATTATTCCACATAATGACAGCAAAGACTTTCAAGAAATCAACTCAAGGGCAATTCTAATTCCTATTTTTTTTCCTAAATAATATCGGTTTGGATATGTCATTGTACTGTTTGTATATGTCAGATATTGGTGGACAAGGCTATTTAAACTGCCTGAAGTTGATTTCTTGAATGTAAGGGGATAATGTTCCTTAAAGAGATACAAGATGATCCTCTTGTTTTCAAATTTTTTGAAAGACTCCTGAGTAAACATTGAGCCCTGGCAAATATTAACTGCAACAGTGCTATCATGAATTCATCATACTCAAGACCATTCAGTCAAAGATGCAGCGCAAGAATCCTTCTCAAAGTCACTCTTTATACCGGCCAAGATGCCTGGATCCAACATTGCTTTGAGTAACGCCTTACACATTGCTTTAGAAGCCACTATGGTCTGATTATGTGCCTCCTCCGTTCCTGCCAACTCTGCAAAGGACTGGGTGTTGGTGGCGCTTGCAGCGTTTGCAATGTCGAAAGCTGGCGCAATGGTCGGTACAACGTGTGACACGTTACCAGAGTCTGATGACCCGACTAGTCTCCCGCCCATCTCTTCATTGGTAGTGAATACGCAGCCCAGGCTCTCTGCTTCTTCTTGATACAGCGCAGCCAACTTGGAGCTGTTGCATAGGTTGGAGTAGGGTGTTGGGGTAAAGGCTATTTCCAGCTCACATCCAGTGGCTCGGGCAGCTGCCTTGAAGGCTGCATCGGCTCGCTGCTGTAGGTGGGCCATTTCGATGTGGTCAGGGGCACGCAAGTAAAACTTCATCTCTGTTTGTTCTGGGATGATGTTAGGTCTTAATCCTCCATTTGAGATGATACCTGTTGGATGGCACAATAGAAAAATAATAAATACATATTATTACTATAATATAATAATAACAATAATAATAATAATAATAAAAATAGTGGTTTCTTATATAGCGCACATGTCCGTCACGTTATAACGCTGCCCTGATTTAATAATAATAAACAAAATTTGTACAATCTTTAGCAATATACATTTTTAATTAACAAGATAATAGATTATATAGGAAACTGCTTTGTACAACGGTATGTACTGGACTGGATTGATTTCCTCAAGCACAAATATCTGGCATTACCATTGAGACAAGCCTTTTCAACACACATGACCCACTTGAACAAACAGATAAATGAATGTCAATAGTTAAAGGAGGCCACTTGGCTCAGTCAGTAAAGCATCTGCCTGTTAAACTGAATTCAACCCAGGCAGGTGACTGAAGCCTGCGTTGTCCCGTTTCATAGACATTAGACAAAATATAGGTTAAAGTGGAAAACACTCAGTCCCTGAGATAGGATATTAAATGGAAGCCCCATGTAGTGGAGATTCACTACTCTTGCATATTAAGGTTCCAATGCACTAAACCTCACCTGCACATCTCCAATAAGTGATAGTGGGAGGAGAGACCCCAAGGGTCACAGTGGCTTAGTTTGCTTTTCCCACCATAATCACCTTAACCTCCCTCCAAGACCACACAACTCCCTAGTAGCACTAAGGGTGCGTTTAATTGACACTTTTTCACCCTAGAATCACGATATTTAAAGACGTTTAGTTTAAAACACGTTCCGCTCAAGCAATTTTTTCATCGGGCGATAAAATAAACGTGTTTAAATACACAAACATGAAACACTGAAAAAGATGCGTTTTGTATCATGATTCTGCTGAATCACGGTCGCTAAAATTCGATTGAACGAACTTAGTTCTCAATCATGATTCTATGGCGTAATTTTCCTGGCCTGTTCCAGTTTAGGCAAAAACCGCGCGCATGCTTTTCACACAATTTGCGTTCACTATACCATGCTCTTTATCGTGGCCTGTTCCGTTTTGTTATTCCTTGTTTTCCTTCTATCATTTTCTCTTTGTTTCTTCTTTCTATTCTTATGTCATTCTTTGTTTTTATAATTCTATCACTTTCTCTTTTGTTATTCTTTGTTTCTTCCTTCTAATCTTATAATTATTCTTTGTTTTTTCCTTCTATTCTTATAATTATTCTGTGATTTTTCCTTCTATCACCTTTTGGTATGTTATTCTTTGTTTTAATCATTCTATCATTTTCTCTTTCCTTATGTTATTCTTTGTTTCTTCCTTCTATCACCTTCTCTTATCTTATTCTTTGTTTTTATAATTCTATCAATTTCTCTTATGTTATTCTTTCTTTTAATCATTATATCGACTTTCTCTTTCTGTCTTTCCTTATGTTATTCTTTGTTTCTTCCTTCTATCACCTTCTCATTCTTTGTTTAATTATTGCTATCTATGCTCAAAACAGCAATCGACAGTCGGCCGTTAACAATTCCAGAAAGCACGCGCCGAAGTTGACCTTTACTTCCTTGGTCAAACTGCGCAGTGTGATGGGCAGTGGCTGGGCTCGAAATGAGCTAGAATCAGCGTTAATGGAAAATCGCTTTAAGCACTTTCCCGCAGTGACCTTGTTTTGTAACAAAGTTCTGATTTGTGATTCATGTTTGGGATTCTAGCCCAGTGCAGCGAGCACGGATTGTATGCGTTGCCAACCTGTACCCGGGGTATAAAGTGGTGATGAATTGACAAATTCTAACCCTCATCCAACAAATGCGCAAACATATGGTAATATACAGATATTGACTGGCAGGGGGTGTAAAATAACATTCTTTGGACTGCTGAAGGGAGTTATATTTTCCCAATGCGCGCAATACTCCCTTCAGGTCCGAAGAATGTTATATGGCACTGTTTTTTTAAACTATGACTATATAGCTTAATGGCCCTTTGACAGCCGGAAACTTTACAAAGATAAAGAATTAGAAATCAGTTACAACTTTTTCTTGTAGCATGGACCTAGGTTAACCTCCCATAGCTTAACGAAAAAATGTCAGCGTTGCTTTATGTGCATGAGGTATCCCTGAACAGCCAATTGTTTACGGAATTTTGTAACAAAACTGACATACCTTTTTGGTTGGAGCCGAAAAAAATATATACCCACCAGCAATATGTTTTTTTTCTATTGATGATTAATGAGCATGGGTGGATCTTAAAGAAAGTTAACAGTAATCTGAATTAACTCCTGTATTTCTGTAAACAATGTAGGCCCTCATTTAACCCACTAGAACAATCATTTAATGAGATTGTTTATGGTTTGAATAAGCTTATTAGTTACTCCAAGTCATTAAATTAAAAGAAAATATCATTTAATTGTAGTAGCGCTTATATTATAAATATATTCAAAATTTGAAAAAGTTGTCTCATTTTCCGTAAACAATTTTGTAACGTCCGAAACAACTTTCAATTTGAAGTAGCAGAAAATATATGAACTGCAGGACCTACATGTATCTTTCGTAACATTTTTTAAACATTTCATGGCGGCTACCCACCAAAAAAAAAGAAATTTGCAATACATCATTACAATACTATTTTATAGTTAAAACCAATTTTCTGTTAACAGTTGTAACGTCCGAAACAAAAAATACCAAATAAATGATGATAATCTATATTTGAGGGTATCCGGAGTGAAAAAATCATTATGAAATAAATTATTATAAGTCTTAACACAAGTCAAAACACAAATCAGGTCAAATCCAATAACTTTGTGGTGCAAGGCATTCCTGGCTGTTTTAGTATATCCTTAGTTGTAATTTATCAGAAACAATCTCAATAAAAGTGACTCATAAAAATTATTCAGCCATTTTAACAGCACTTTCTTAGCTTAGAGACATTTGTATTAAGCGCTATATAAAAATTAAATATTATTATTATTATTTCTGTTTTGCTGTAGCACGTTTCGGATGTTACATTAAACTGTTAACAGACATTTTCATACTTTAACTAGTTCAAATGAGGGGCAAAGATAGATGTGAGAATAGCAAATTTCAATTTTTCAACCTCTCCTCTTGCTATTTACATTGATGTGTGTTTGCAAATCATCACGTTTTCATTTTTACAGAGGTTGTTCCAAATTATGTCATATAACCAAAGATTGTATGGTCTATCTAAACTATTTGGTAGGTTAAAAAAGCTCAAAATCACCCACTTAAGCAATACCCAGTGTACGTGTATGTACATGACACGGGTATGATACAGGTATATAAAGTTGATAAAATCAAGCAAATTAAAATGTTTTTCTAAAAATTTATGGGAAATATGGATTTTCATTTAAAAATACCTTTTAAAAAGGGCACTCTGTACACGTAACTAATCTGTGTAGAAAGTACATACATGTATAAAAGAAAAGGGCATTACCAGTAATACCTTATTTAATGATCCTAAACATATACATGTAGTATCTCCCTCAAATGTATGCATACATACAAAATGTATAAGCTAGTGTAGGGATTTATTTTGAACTTCTGAAACTCCCCTTCATATCCATGATTCATCCCTTTCATATTAATAGGTCATCCCTCATTCACATTCACCCTTTTCATCCACTTTCCTTTCATCTGTCTATCTCTCTCTCTCATTAGTTTCAATGTTCACCTGATGCAGTCATGCTTATGTAGTATGATTTACACATACTATGAATATTCAATATATACCCTTTGTTTATGTTTGAATATTCAAGAATACTTTGTGATGTTGATTTATACTTGTATGGGACTATATGAATATTTATTGATTTATTATACTTTGCATGGAATGTATGTGGAATGCTACATAGAATGCTGTAATGCCTTTACACATTAAAACCTGGTCAGTTAGCTAGTAGTTATCAATCCTACAACATGTCTGCTGGGCTGCCTCTGTGTTAAGAGTGGTAGGAATTATCTGTTAGAACCGCAACCCTACACTAGTGTGAAATATAAATGGGCTGTCCGTTTTTGTTTTTTTTCCTCTACAAAATGTCAAAGTTGGGGGTGCGGCGCTGCGGCCTTATCGCCGGCAAATACGGTACATGTTTAACCTACACTGTATATTGTTTGTCACCTGTAATATAGGCACAGCAAGAGTTAAGATGTATCAACCAACCAACCGACCAACCAATCAATCCATCCATTCATCAATCGGTCATCAATTAAATAAATAAATTTAAGAGCATTAAAACATATTGTCGTTTGAAACAGCCTCCTAATACAAATAGTGGTAAAGGATGATTGTTACTACAGTAGTATTATAACCTAAAACATACACAATTTTAAAACACATAAAAAATGTCTAATTCTCGAGATGTACATACATTAGGATTCACTTATTTCTTACTACCGTACTTACATGACTGGGGGTACTTTTTTATAGTTTTATTTTTTTAAAGATTTGTCAATGTTTCAGTGCTTACATACATGTATGTGTTAGTGATATTATTGAATGACACACTATATAGTTGAAGGCAAAGAACATTAGCAAGCTGATTAAACATCTATATTGTAGAGTTTGTAGAAATTGATGATCTCATTGAAATGTTAACATTGTGTAACATCTGAAACAAACCATAGTATACATTTCACACTGTTGTTCATAACATGCAATAAAGAGTATGTTTCTAAGTGAAAAATGTGGAAAATATCATTTCAAGGGAGAAAAAAAATATTGATTAAAAAAAAATTGACTCTCGGTATAGGTGTTACTGGTGACATACAGTCCTTAAGAGGGCGACATGCATTGGTTAAAAATATGTTCATTTCACCAGCTGGTGAATATAACACTGGAAAGTGACCAACCAGGAAAATACAGTGTATAACAATTACAAAACTTGCTCGCAATTGATAACACGTGACGAGCTCTGGACCAATTACATCTTGGTATCTGTCTAAGCTATCTAATATCACAATTTCATTTACTTCTTTTCGGAGATAAACCTTTGGACTACCTTCCTAGCTACATGTATGTACAAATTTTGGAAATATATGGAAGATGTCAATAATTAGATAAGAAAATTGTGATGATGACAACCTAACATTGGCTCTAACTCCCGATTTCCTTGGTCGATTTTGCTGGTTCAAATGGTTATGTCTTCAGTAGAGTTATCCGAGCACAAAAGAAACATATGATAACCAATAGAAAGTTGCATTGGTCATATGTTGTGTATTCTGTATTCTATATATTATAGCTACATCTTCACTGAACATGACGTCATTTTTTGCGGTGGCACGCATGGCTTCTAAGCTCGATGCCTCCATATTCTTACGACCGAGTGTTTAGAGATCTAAGGCGAGCAGACTGATCTGGGCAGCGTCTCACGAAACCGTCATAAGTACAATCTCACCGACATCCCATTGAAATGCGTGTATTAAGTTTAACACGCGTTTCAATGGGATGTCTGTGAACCTGTAATGTTTCATGAAACACTGCCCTGTGGTCTGATAGGGGCAGCTGTTGATGGACTTGATGGCTGGAGGGGATTACAATTCTTGTTGTTAAGCCAAGTCAATCCTGAATATCTTTTCCTCTGGAAATTCCTTTGAGACGGTATCTCCATCCATTCCAAGTTTCTAAATCCCTGGTCTGAATTGGATTTTATGTGAGCCCTACATATGTGGTTTTATGTTATCTTATGTTTTCTTCATGTAAAATCGTTAAAAAGGTTGATTTTATACATTTTAGATTTCCTTGGTTGACTTTATACATTTTAGATTTCTAGCTATCAGGGTTGGGCGGTAAATACCAGTGGCGGTAATTACCGGCGGTAAATACCGGTAAATACCGTCCGGTAAATAAGATGTGCGTCCGGTATATATGTAAAAAACGGGAAATATGATTTTAATTCTCTATTTATTAATAATTTTACTTGTTTTTAGCCTCATAACTGAAAATATTGTTCTGAAATAATTAGCAGCACAATACTCATAGTAGGAACACACAAACAGATTTATAAAATCCTCACTGCATACAAAATTGTACACACCCAAACAAATGGCATTTTGAGCATATGCTAATTAATAGATATTCATGAATATGGTAATTAGCAACTGGGAACCAAAACCTTTATACAAGTTACTTTTATTGTAAAGTTTAAGATATTTGAATAAAATCAGTGAAAATTTGAACAAAATCGGGCAAGGAATGAGGAAGTTAAAGCTTTTTGAAATGACTAGTCACTAGAGGGCGATATTCAATTTGACGACATCATTTTTTCTTGTGATTGAGATAATAGAATGCAAAATGATATTCTGCTTCACATGTTATGAAATCCGATCAAGAACCAAAATAAATAGGAAAAAACAAAAGACTTGTGAAATTTGATGTACAAAAGGCATGGCGAGTTGTCCACAAATGATGTCATCAAATTGAATATCACCCTCTAGTGACGAGTCATTTTAAAAAGCTCTAACTTCCTTATTCCTTGCCCGATTTTGTTCAATTTTTCACTGATTTTATTCAAATATCTTAAACTTTACAATAAAAGTAACTTAGTATGAAGGTTTTGGTTCCCTTTAATGAAGAACATCATATCTAGATTAGGTGTATATTTGGTATCTTTTTCCTGTATTTTTTTCCAGCATTACATAATTACAGACATAGACAAACACACGAACAAACACACACACACACAAAATAGTACACACAAGAGCAACCATACTCGCCACCATTGTTATTATGTTCAAAATTGGACAATCCCTATGAACAAGTGAGTGGAGAAATATATTTCCCGGTATTTCCCGGTAAAAAGTGGTAAATACCGGTAAATACCGGTAAAAAGCAGTAAAATACCGGTAAACACCGGTTATTTCCCGGCGTCCGGGAAATAAGCCTCCGAAGCGGGAAATATGCCAACCCTGCTAGCTATACATTAATTTTTTCTCTAGAGAATAGGTACACTTTAAAAGTATTCAATATTTGGGTATTGTACTAAAATATGAAAACTCCTGAATTTTGTTAAATTTTGTCCTTACACACAACTCGGATGTAAATGTGATGTCACGAGCTACAATTTCTACAAACCTCCTCTTAAAAGTCTTGCTACATTTGAAAGATAGAATTTTGTAATCTTTATCAAGACAAGCCCTCCACTTTTTGTGGTTTGGCTCAGTAAATATGATGCAGAACCATTAAAAATACTAGATGCATAAAAAGAAAGGGCAAAAATGTCTCCACCCACTGTATCCTTTTTGTTGCATTTATAACCACATTGCTTTTAACACCAGGAATTTTGAAAAAGAAAATGATCTTTAAAACCCTTCAAATGACAACGTGCTGACAGGCTTAAAACCACTGTTTTTCGAACAATATTTTTTTAATAAACTTTCCAACATCATGCAGCTCGCTAAGCATTTTGTTTTGAGAGACAAGACATTTTACTAGAACAACATTACATAGCAATGACAATTATAATTGGTGCCACTTTGAAAAAGAAAAGGGATCAATTTAGCCCTTAGAAATTGCCTATCCTAAAAGGGTTAAAAATATTGCTATATTGCTATCATGATCTTACAATGGATCTGCATGTATGGCTTGAGCTGTTGCCTTAGTACTGAGATGTTGTTATAGCACAGGATGGCAGCATCCAGGGCGTTCCTCCCATCCCAGGGGCTGGTTGATGCATGAGCTGCCTTGCCCTTGAAGCAGATGGTTTGCCTCATGATAGTCAGCATGATAGGCTTGGCGACATGGCAGGTAAATGGGATGAATGTCACAGCCAGGTCAACATCTTTGAAGAAGCCTTCCTTGATCGCCTCCATCTTCTTGCCATTACCTTCCGAATCTGGGGTCCCAAGGATGGTAACCTATTTGAGGGTCAGCAGCAACGTTGATTGGATAAAAGTGGTAAAATGGTAAAAATGAGTGGATAACAGTCTATACTCCAATTGTGAAAATATTCCTGAGGAAAAAACATGTTATGCATTGAAGCTATGTTACGTGCAGAGATAGAGAGAGTGAGAGAGAGGCACGTAGATCAGGATTGAGGTTTGAGCGCTGCCTTTGCACGAGCAAGAACAAAGCGAAAGAGGAATATAGGATCTTGTTTTAGTCCATTGTACGGTAGACTGAAATCATTACTCATTAGGAAATAAAGTTATATTTAAGAAAAGGTTAAATCTAGGATTTAAAAAAATGATTCCTTAGCCTATATTATGGGATAGGTGGCAGTACTAAATATGCAGGTAAAAAGGAGGAATTGATTAAGAGGAGGCTTTGATCGAATCACCAGAAAAGTAGTTTTTGGATTGATTTTTTCCTGGAAGGGGGGGGGGGGGGGCTCACTGAATTTCTTCAGCATGATTTTGCAGTCAATGGAGAGGAATTTCCTGACAAAAAAAAGAGATTGAAGTCCGAGAAAAATCATGTTATATCCGATGCATTTATTATGGAACATACCAGTAGACTAAACTACATCAGTTCCACTTACCGTATAATCCCGTTTAATGGTCCCTTTTCAGGAAATTATGGGTCAAAATCGACATCCATGTTGAAAATCTTGCAGCCGTATTTTAAACTCTCACTGCGCATGACGCATCTAAATCTCATCCCTTCTAGTCTACGCGCAAGGAAAAATGATTATGAAAAAAAAATTGTGCACTCGTAGCTCGGTAGCTACAGCAGAGACGCCAAGTTCAAAGATCGGCGATGCGCGTGACATTTTAATGATTCGGCGCGTGAGCGCATAACACACATATAAGGTATAGCGTTTTTCAAAATCTAGCGCACGCGTCGTGCGTAAGAGCATTTTCAGACCCTTGAAATGCATGATGTCAATGCCTAATGCATGATACTTGGTACTGGTAGCTCTGCTACAACCATCTCAAAACAAGAACGAGAGGGAAAACTGTGAAAGATGACGTCCTTTTCAAGCCAAGACTTAATGAAAAAATATGATTGCACTCGTAGCTCGTGCACAGGTTTTCCTTCAGAGGCTAACGAACGAAAGAGACAAAAAATTTCGGTCAACTGAATCAAGTCTAACTAAGTTAGACCGACTCCAAATCCAATATCTACCCGCATTAGCATTGACTCGCTATGACTAAGACCGAAAGCTTCAGTCTCTCTAATCATCGGTTGTTCCACTGAGACTACGTCTGGCTCCACTAGACCTCCGATTATAGAGACTGAAGTAGGGCCTATCCGGGACTGTACGGGACTGTACGGAACAAATGGTTCGGTTCGACCGGACCGCGATGAATGAGATATGCAACAAGATTTTTTACTCTTTACATCCTCATAACTGCAACTGCTGCAATTATAATAAAAATTAAAAATAACATATAGGCCTATATAGCTTATTTGACTTACGATAGCTTGCTGATTTAGATCCTAAATTAATGATTAATCCGAGAAAGTCTTGCGTCAACATTATCCGTCTTGGTTTTAGTTGATGAATATTCATTTTTTCTTTTTGAACGTCCAATAGCTACCGTACCTACGTATGAGTCAGCTTCGGCTTGACCAACGAACTCCCACGAAACGAGTGCTCTGATTGGCCATTTGGCTATGTTTTGGTAGGTTGACCCGGAAATATTTTGCATGAACGTACTGTTTCACAGTTCAGACTAGACCGAAAGCTTCAGTCTCTATAATCGTCGATTGTTCCACTGAGACTACGTCTGGCTCCACTAGACCTCCGGTTATAGAGACTGTGATAACGCCATTACGAATGTGTAGATGGCGCACAGTTTTTCCTTCATAATCATTTTGCCTTCGGCGTAGACTAGAAGGGATGAGATTGACGGCAGCGAGAGTTTAACACGGCTTGCAAGATTTTCAACATGGATGTCGATTTTGACCCATAATTTCCTTAAAAGGGACCATTAAACGGATTATTTCAATCAAGTTAGTAAGTGGAACCGATGTATTATAGCCTAGGCCTAATTTAAAATTGGATATGGACGAGGTAAAATGACATTTTGGGGGATTTTGGGGGCATAACAATACGGCCGTGGCAAGTTTGTCATGTTTGTGGGAGGGGCCTAGCGGCTAAAATCTAGCCGTGATATCTTCAACATACGATGGTATAGGCGATCGTTCAGTCTCTATAACCGGAGGTCTAGTGGAGCCAGACGTAGTCTCAGTGGAACAACTGACGATTATAGAGACTGAAGCTTTCGGTCTAAGTTCAGACATAGTCTACAAGTTGGATAATTCATATAAGTAAGTCCGTAAATTATACATTTAATATTAAGTTATCAAATTTTGATAACTGCAATTAGGACAAGTGACATACCGACCTAATTTACATCTGATATAGACATCAGAAAATTAGATCTAAAATAAAGAAAATCGGGAAGAAAATGTCGTGAACGAAAAGATGTTCATAGCCACCCCCACGGTACGAGATCTCTGGGTTACCATCTGTATTGGGGAATGACAACAAATGTCAGTTTTATTAAAGAAATGACCCAAATCAGATGGTTATTTCTGTCTAGCTATGACTGTCTTAGACAGCAATAACCATCTGATTTGGGTCATTTCTTTAATAAAACTGACATTTGTTGTCATTCCCCAATACGGATGGCAACCCAGAGATCTCGTACCATGGGGGTAAATTAGAGCCACAGCGGAACAGCTTTTCGTTACCGACATTTCTCCCCGATTTTCTTTATTTAGATCTAATTTCCTGATTTCTAAATCAGATGTAAATTAGGTCGGTCTATATATCTCCTAATTACAGTTTTCAAAATTTGCTAACCTATTATAGAATGTGAAATTTTCGGACTTACTTATATGAATTATCCAATTTGTTCCTCAGAACCGCGAAGCACTTACGTTCATGCATTCGAAATATTACCCGGCGGCCGATATATTTCCGGGTCCACCTACCAAAACATAGCCAATGGCCAATCAGAGCACTCGTTTCGTGGGAGTTCGTTGGTCAAGCCGGGCCGACTCGTATGTAGCTACGGTAGCTATTGGACGTTCGAAAAGAAAAAATTAATATTCATCAACTAAAACCAAGACGGATAATGTTGACGACGAGACTTTCTCGGATTAATCATTAATTTAGGATCTAAATGAGCAAGCTATCGTAAGTCAAATAAGCTATATATATGTTATTTTTAATTAGACTCTAATTATTGTCATATTGCAGCATGTGTGAGGATGTAAAGAGTGAAAATCTCGTAGCATATCTCATTCATCGCGGTCCTGCCGAACCGAACCATTGGTTCCGTACAGTCCCGATAGGACAATCTTCAGTCTCTCTAATCGTCGGTTGTTCCACTGAGACTACTTCAGTCTCTCTAATCGTCGGTTGTTCCACTGAGACTACGTCTGGCTCCACTAGACCTCCGATTATAGAGACTGAAGATTGTCCTATCGGGACTGTACGGAACCAATGGTTCGGTTCGGCAGGACCGCGATGAATGAGATATGCTACGAGATTTTCACTCTTTACATCCTCACACATGCTGCAATATGACAATAATTAGAGTCTAATTAAAAATAACATATATATAGCTTATTTGACTTACGATAGCTTGCTCATTTAGATCCTAAATTAATGATTAATCCGAGAAAGTCTCGTCGTCAACATTATCCGTCTTGGTTTTAGTTGATGAATATTAATTTTTTCTTTTCGAACGTCCAATAGCTACCGTAGCTACATACGAGTCGGCCCGGCTTGACCAACGAACTCCCACGAAACGAGTGCTCTGATTGGCCATTGGCTATGTTTTGGTAGGTGGACCCGGAAATATATCGGCCGCCGGGTAATATTTCGAATGCATGAACGTAAGTGCTTCGCGGTTCTGAGGAACAAATTGGATAATTCATATAAGTAAGTCCGAAAATTTCACATTCTAGATCTAGATCTATAATAGGTTAGAAAATTTTGAAAACTGTAATTAGGAGATATAGATCTAGTATAGACCGACCTAATTTACATCTGATTTAGAAATCAGGAAATTAGATCTAAATAAAGAAAATCGGGGGAGAAATGTCGGTAACGAAAAGCTGTTACGCTGTGGCTCTAATTTACCCCCACGGTACGAGATCTCTGGGTTGCCATCTGTATTGGGGAATGACAACAAATGTCAGTTTTATTAAAGAAATGACCCAAATCAGATGGTTATTGCTGTCTATGACTGTCTATGCTCTGCTGGAGTGCTTGTTCCAAAGTAGGCCTACAATTTAAAAGAAATCCAACCAAAATTATGACACTTTTCATGTATATTACCTTTCCCAAACTGCTCTTCTTGTCAATAGCTGCTTTGAGACCAATAGCTGTAGCGACACAGGCCTCTGAAACCAAATTATGTGCTGTAGCATGACCGAGCTCTGGAAGCGCGTCGTACTCAGCCATCAGGCATACGTGAACCCCTGGTGGACCAGAGACCCCATCACCATCGACATTTTCCGTGCTACCGTACGAAGCACGAAAGCCAGTGGGGCCTAGGAATTCTTCAACCGTGAACCCGTTTTCGCGAAAGAAGTTACACAGGATCGTGTTGGCATGAAACTCTTGTAAACCTAATTCTGGATTTCTCCATATATCTTGACCGATATCTCGAAAACTGCTTGCGCCAAAGTCGACAGCGGAAGAGCAAATTCTCGACAATTCTTCCATGACGAAATCGGTGTAGACCCTATTGTCAACTGAGCCAACTTTGGAGACCACTACTTTTGCGACTACTAAGAGGTCAACGAACTTTCAGAAATACATTGATATAAATTATATATACATTAGACTGCGAAGAGTGCGCACGAGGATTCTTTAAGGCCCCATTCGTTTATATTCATGTTACTAATGATAGCGGATGTTGCCTTAGTGGGCGCGGGTGCGCATATTTTTTTACACAACAGCTGTTTAGCCACTTCAGTCAAATATACTGTGCAAACGACTAGAGACAGAGTCTAGCATTACCCTTAGCAGTTTTGTTGGATTGCTGGAGCTGTATACATGATTGATTGATTGATTGATTTTTATTCGACAAGCTTCCAACATACAACAATATACAATAATAACAGATCAAAAATAAGTCAGCTTGAACAGGATAACCCACGAAAGCTCGAGAGCTTATTTCCAGTGGGGTCCCTTACAGACATGTATAAAATTAATAAGTTAAAATAGTTTTTTTTTCAGACAGATAAGAAAATTAAAAGAACTACTTATTAAAGATAATAATAATAATAACAACATTAAACTGATGATAGAAATGATATCAAGTACAAGAAGAAAAGGAAGAAGGAGAAGAAAAAAAAGAGGAGAAGGAAGAAGAGGAAATTAATGATGAATTTTTAGAATTTCTATAACGTACGAAAACATAAGTATATACAACATGAAAAAGTATGAACCGACAGAAGAATAAAAATTTCAATCATATAACATGTCATTCACTTCTCTTCTCTGACTGTCAAGTATTAGGTATGCCTTTAATTTCCTCTTAAAATGATCATAGTTTCCTATTTCTTTTACACCATTGGGAAGGGAATTCCAATGTTTTATGGCATTGTAATAAAACGAATTTCCAATACTACCTACTCTTTCTGTTAAAGTTGAATCGTCTATTTCTTGTATTATAATCATGTACGTCAGTAACAAGATCGAAGTTGGATCGAATATAATGATTCGACCTAGTATGATATATTTTATGCACGTGATGCAATACGAGTTGTTTTGATCTTTGGTCGACTTCAAGAAAACCAGCTTTAGAAAGTTCGCTAGTGTAGCCAACATGAGTTCTTGGACCAGAACAGTTGATAAATCTCACCATTTTGTTCTGTATAATCTTCAACTTCTTTTGATCGGACTTGTTTATGTTACTATACCATGCAGGGTTAGCATAGTCAAATAAACATTGAATAAGGGCAAAACAGAGTGTACGTCTTGCTTTTAAATCCATACAACTTTGATATCTGTACAAAAATTTCAGACGAGAATTTGCTTTTTTACAACTGATTCTACTAAAGATGAAAATGAAATTGCGCTAGCCAACTCAATGCCTAAATACTTCACAGACTCTTTTCTCTTGATTGCTTGATTATTGTGTGTCACTTTGAATTCAAATGACTTTTTAGAACTACTTTTAGAACAAAATAAAATGCTTTCTGTTTTTCCCAAGTGTAAAGAAAGCTTATTATCAGTCATCCAATGGACACACGTAGACAGCTGTTCACTGAGGTTTTCCTCAATATATTTAGGATCAGGATTTGAATAGATACGCTGCCATCTGCGTACAATTATAGTTTGAAGTCTTTTATACAAATACACATATCATTTATATAACTTGAAAATAGAATTGGGCCTAAAATGCTTCCCTGAGGAACACCGCATGTTATAGGCATTAGTTTGGAACGAATATCATGAATGGCCACTACATGGTGCCGATTAGATAAGTAGGATCTAAACCAATCTAAACTTACCTTAACAAAACCCATTAGTTGTAACTTCTTCAATAAGACGCAATGATTAACTGTATCAAAAGCTTTTTGCAGATCAAGGAGCACCATACCAACAAAGCGCCCTTGGGAAGTTTCTCTCTTCAAATAATCAGTCAAATGAATTAGACTTGTTTCAGTCGAATAACCATGTCGAAAACCAGATTGAAATTCATAAATTATATCATTTTCTTTGAATTTTTGATTTTTCTAGAATCTTTGATGCTACGCTTAAAACCACTGGCGTACCTGAGGGGGGGGCAAGGGGGCAGAGTGCCCCCCCCCCTGACGGGCTCCAGGGGAAAAAAAGGAAAAGGGGGGAAGGGAAAGGAAAAAAAAGGAGAAAGAAAAAAAAGGGGAAAGAAAATAAAAGAAAGGAAAGGAAGGAAAAAGAAAAAAGGAAAAGGGGAGAGAAAAAAAAAGAAAAGAAAGAAAAGAAAGAGAAAAAAGGAAAAGGAAAAAAAAGGAAGAAGAAGAGAAAAGGAAGAAAGAGGGAAAAGAAAAGGAGAGAAAAAAATGGGGAATTTATTTTAAAAAAGACCATGGCCGTACGCACCGGGGGGGGGCAGTTGACCCCAGATATTTTGAAAACGTACAGTTTTTTTTCCTGAAAATGTTTAACAAATCTCACAAGTAGTGAAGGCCTATACCAAATCCTTAAATTCTACTTTTGAAAAATGCAAAAGTACCCTCATGACCAGTTTGGTCGCTCGAACTCCCTTCACTCCTTTTGCTTTTGAGTTTCTTCAAAAAAAAAATATGCATCTTTCCCCCTCCCCCATCAGAAAAATATTCCGCATACGGCAAAAAAAAGACAAATGAAAATAGGAAAATATAAGTGATATAACAAATTCGACACTATTCGCTGGCGCGAGCTGCTTGCTAGCCTATTTTGTATTAATTGTTTTCACTTGCTCGTCCCCCTGAAAAAAAAAAAGGATTAGCCTTGCCTAGAATACAATTGTGTCTGCCCCGACTGGCCCCGACCTGCAACCATGGCAACCATAACACCCAGTTTATGTATCAAATGTTACTAAAAGAGACTAATTCATTTTTTCTCGCTCGCTACGATCGCTCGCGAATAAATGAAATAGACATTGCTTTGGAAACAATTGTGCCCACCCTTGACCTGCAACAATATCATTAAAAATGGAAGTGTTTTTTCGCCCTCTCGCCAAAAAGGAATTGATATCGTGTTAAACGCGATTGCGCCCATTCCGACCTGCACCAATAAAAACAAGTTTATGTATTAATTTCTATTAAAAGAGAATTGATTTTTTTTGCATCGCTATGATCGCTCACCAAAATGGAATTGACATTCCTAACAAAATATGTGCGCTCCCTTGCCTGCAACGAAAATCTCAGTAAATAAGTACCGAACTTTATTTTGAGAGATATTGTTTCCTCGCTCGCCAGAATTGATGAATTGATTGATTTTAGTGATTGATATATGACTTGATTTGTTTTTTGTTTTACCCTCTCTTGCTACGCTGTATTTACAATTAACATCGCTAACAAACATGCTCAACCAACCTACAACAAATTACCAGTTGATAATTATGTACCAGACGTTAATCAAAGAAAATTTGGTTTGCTCGCTAGCTACGCTCCCTCGCCAATATGGAATTAACATCACCTTAAACATGATTGTGTAAGCCCCGACCTGCAACAAACAAAACTGAAAATTATGCACCAATCATCATTAATTTTGTTTTGCCTGCCCACCTGAATGGGATTGACATTGGCTTAAACACGATTGTACCCACCCCCGACCTGCAACAAGGACACAAAGTTTATGGACCAATTCATTGAGGACAATTGAACCAAGTTTAATTGGCAATATTATTATTACAAAAAGAAGCGATTTTTTTATTCTTGCTCGCTACGCTCGCTCGCCAAAATGAAATTAACATCGCTAACGTGCCCGTCCTAACATGCAACAGCATTACTAGTTAATAATTATGTACCAAACATTATTCAAAGAAGTTTTGGTGTGCTCGCTCGCCAAAGCGGAATTAACATCACCTTAGACATGATTGTGTAAGACCTGACCTGCAACAAAAAACCTGAATTTTATGAACCAATTATCATTACAAAAAATTTTCTTGCTCGCTACGCTCGCTCGCCAAAATAGAAATAACATCGCTTTAAATAATCATGTCCCTGACATGGATCAATGAAATCAAGTTTATGTACACTGTTGGTCATAATGGTGGAATATTTATTTTTACCCCAGTTTAGGGAAGGATTTTAAAAAAATATTTATTTCTGATAGATCTAGATAATGGCGTACATTCTCAGATTTTATTGAATATTAATTTGCGAGTGTTTGTTTTGCGTGACTGCTTAATCATTTGTGTGCTACTATGCTAATCAGCTAAGGTACCTACGTTCTTAAATCATAATTGACAGTAATGAGGATTAATGCCTCACAAAAGGGCACTATTAAAGCTGATCGACACGATTTTTATTCTGGGGTCTCACAGTAACGAGGCCATTGCTTAGCCCCTGAATCATGACTGAACGCAGTGTTTGCTAGGGTACGCGGCCCCTTCCACAAATCCCCCAAAACGAAGAAAATGCAATAAATTGTCAAAAATTCATTGCATTTTCCCCCGGCCCCCAACAGGAAAAATTCCTCTGTAGGGCCATGCATTATGGTTCAAGGCAAGGCCACACAGAGGAATTTTTCCTGTTGGGGGCCGGGGGGAAATGCAATGAATTTTTGACAATTTATTGCATTTTCTTCGTTTTGGGGGATTTGTGGAAGGGGCCGCGTACCTTAGCAAACACTGCGTACAGTCATGATTCAGGGGCTAAGCAATGGCCTCGTTACTGTGAGGCCCCATGAAAAAAATCGTGTCGATCAGCTACATATTAGTGCCCTTTTGTGAGGCATTAATCCTCTTTACTGTCAATTATGACTTAAGGACGTAGGTCCCTTAGCTGATTAGCATAGTAGCACACAAATGATTAAGCAGTCACGCAAAACAAACACTCGCAAATTAATATTCAATAAAATCTGAGAATGTATGTCATTATCTAGATCTATTAGAAATAAATAATTTTTTTAAATCCTTCCCTAAACTGGGGTAAAAATAAATATTCCACCATTATGACCAACAGTGTACTATGTTCTCACCGTAAAGTGATTTTTTCGCTCGCTAGCTCGTGGAATTATGTGCCCACCACTGACCTGCTACAATATCATTAAAAAGAGAAATGTAGGGGAGGGGGTTGCCT